TAAAGCAGCGCTGCGGGGGGGGGGGACGACACTGGGGAGGTGGCACTGCAAAAGAATGGTGAAGGCAACTAGAGAGGGCATGGCTGGCGAAACCATTTACAGTGCTATTCCGATGCACGTTTACTCCAGTCTTAAACTCATCATCTATAGGATTGGGATGGTGATAACTCTGTTTAGAATGGCATTGTCCGAATCCTAGACACTGAGGAATATCCGGTAGTCCTGATGGAAATCCATTCACCTGTACGTATGACAATAACTTACAAAGAGACCGCAGCCTTCGTCAGGAATGCAGCTTCCCAGCTAACCAAATAATGGGATTCTTTCTGTCGTTTTGGGAATTACAGCCCGCAAGGCAATAGCCGGAGACTTTTTTTTAAAAAATAAAGCATTCCAGACGGTGGCACCAATCAGAAGCACCCGAAGAAAAGCCCGTCCATGTCTTTAAAACCAGGTCACTCGCAAGGAGATGCAACCGAGAAGCAATTTCACTGTCTTTCAAGTCCAAGTTGCGGAGGAGGCCGACTCAAGTTTTATGATGCGGCTCTCTGTAAGCTCCCCGCATTGTGCTCAGTCATCTGTGAACGCATAAAAGCTACCCTCTACAGAGTCACGCCCTGACCTGGATAGCCCGGGCGAGCCCGATCTCTGGAGATCTTAGGAAGCTAAGCAGGGTCGGCCCTGGATAGTATTTGGACGGGAGGACACCGAGGAAGCCCGGGGCTGCTACACAGAGGTAGGCAATGGCAAACCACTGCTGAGAGCATGAACCCTGTGGAGTCACCATGAGTCAGCTGTGACCGGATGGCACTTTCCACCATCACTACTGCTGAGTCACACTCTTGGGTTTATCAGGCTCCATCTTGCCTACTCTGACCAGCAGACGCACTTCCAGGGTCTCAGGTGGAGACCTCCCACATCCTCCAAACACTTGATCCTTTCATCAGAAGTTGGTACCTTCTGCTATACCACCTAGGCTGGGGTGTCAAACATAAGGCCCAGGGGCCGGAACCGGCCCGTTCAGGGCTCTTATGTGGCCCGTGAGCAACTAGTGGAAGGGAGGGAACAGGAGACTGCTTGGGGGGGGGAGTGGGCGGAGCCACTCTGATTGTGGCTTCAGCAATGGCGGAACGACCTTGTCTGCAGCAGTCAAGCAGCCCATGTGGGTTTTCCTTTGCACACATACCCCCCGGTCCACGAGGCCTTGTCATGAGGATACAACAACCGGGAGCATACCAGCTGTTGTCCCTTATACAGTTTACATCTTCAGTAACCGGCATTTTGTTTTATGGTACACGTGGCCCGACAAAGTGACATTTATGTCAGGTCTCACCCTCGTAACAAGTGAGTTCGACACCTCTGACTTAAGACTCTGCTCTATGAAGAACTGAAGCTACTTATACTGAGTTAATCTCTTTGGCCACTCCCGCACTGTCACTTTTGTCACTTGTTTGTCCCTATTGCTTCAGGGTCCCCCCCCCCCCAATGCGTTTTGCTCTCTCTAGTAGTCCCAGAGGGAGCAAAACACATGTGGAGGGGGGGAGACCCAAAGCAATAGCGACAAATGAGTGGCAAAAGTGACTCTGCAGATGTGGCCACAGTCTACTCAAGTCGGTACTGGCTACTCTGACTGCCGGAGTGTCTAATGGTAAAGGTGATCCACGTCATGACCCTTTAAATTGGAGATGCCGGGGATTGAACTTGGGACCTTCTGCATGCAAAGCAGAGGCTCTGCCACCGAGCTGCAGTCCGTGTGTTCGGGAAGGTCAACCAAACTAGGTTGAAAGAGCGGAAGAATCTCCGGGTCTTCCCCACGGCGCAAGCTAGCTCAACCAGATGCTGTTAACCTGGTCGCCGGCCCCTCCCCCCCCCAACTTCTTCCTCTCCCCGGAGTTTTTCGCTTAGAGGTCTGTTGCTATGGTTTTGCAAAGCAATAGGTTGTGGTTGTGTGATTTCCATGCAGATATTTGCATACATCCTGCTTCCATCCAAATCAGCCCAGCAAGTACTGGCTCTTGCGGCTCAGTCATTTCTTATCAGGTCGCGAAATTTTATCGAATGCAAAGAAGAAAATCCTGCCGGCTGATTCGGAAAGAGTCTTTTCCTCCCAACCCTCAGTGAGTTTCTGTGGCTGCGCTGTCAAAGAAATTAGCCCAGGAGTTAATTAATTAATTAATTAATTAGCCCCTCCCTTTCCTCCTCAGGTTCCTACCTTGTGGGTTCCAAGGATACACGACCCTGCTTTATATTATTACTATTACTGTTATTTTAAAGAAAAGAGGATTCTCTGACCACAATCTCTCTCTCTCATCTTTCATTCTATGAAGGTCTCTCCTTTAATGAGCAGCGTTACTCCTGCTACATACAAATTCAGGGCTGAAGATACTGCATTGCTAGTGCTTTTGCTACGGCAGGTCACAGCTAAAAGTCCTCTGCCCCGGATTCAAATGCTACCCGGCTTAAGGGAAGGGCAGGAGGATTTCATTATAGTGTCTCCTGCCGCAACGCTAAGCACACAGTCAGGGAGATCTGGCGCCTTTACTCAGAAGACAGCCTCAACAAGTTAAAGGAGATTTACTCCCAAGAAAGCATGCCTAGGATTGCCAATGAGGGAGGAACACAGGTGGCCTTCCTTCAGAGTAAATGCACCTCTGTTGCAGATGTCAGCAAATCAAGGGGCATCAGGTGTGTGGGGGGGAGTCAGGGGCCCACCAGTGGCTCTTAGCCACAAGGTTTGTATGGAACACTCTGTCTGGGGCAGGGATGCTCTGTCTTCTTGGTGCTTGGGGGGCCACAGCGGGAGGGCTTCTGGAGTTCTGGCTCTGCTTGTGAACCTCCTGAAGACCCCTGGGTTTTGGCCACTGTGTGACACAGAGTGTTGGATTGGATAGGCCATTGGCCTGATCCAACATGGCTTCTCTTATGTTCTTAAGGGGGGCATTATCCAGTCTTGGAGTAACCACCCCTTGACTTAGTACTTGGACCCCTTATTAGGGAAGGGAGCTGGATTCTAATAGCAGAGTTTCAGGAGGATGGTGGCTGAAGTTGAGGGTCTCTCCCAGGAGAGGCCTCCAGACGAAGCCCTCTTGTCCTCCAAACACCTGGAAAAGTTCTGACGGCAGTCCTTTTAAACACACACATTAGGGAATAAGCAACTTAATGTGCAGCTCCGACCTGGACGGGCCAGGCTGGCCTGATCTGAGGTCCTGGAAGATAAGCAGAGTCGGCCCTGGTTAGCATTTGGACGGGGGACCTCCAAGGAAGCCCAGAGGCCATGGCCGACCACCCCGAAGTGTCTCTTGCCTTGACCCGGATGGCCCCAGCTAGCTTGATCATCAGATCTCGGAAGCTAAGCAGGGTCGGCCGGGTGAGCACTTGGAAGGGAGACCGCCAAGGAAAGCCAGGGTCGCTACGCAGAGGCAGGCCACGGCAGGCCACCTCTACACGTCTCTTGCCCTGAAAACGATATGGGGCCATAAGTCTGCTGCCACTCGGGGCCACTCTGCACACACACACCCAACTCAAGGGGGCTTACTTCTGAGTAAGCCTGCGCTGTCAACTACCTGTGGAGTTTTACGGTGGGGGGGGAGGGAAGGGGCGGTTACCTGAAGTCGCTGTAGGGGTGGATGATCCAGAAGCCGGCGGACTTGACCCTCTCCTGCTCCCTCTCCACGGCCTTCTGGCTGCCGAACATCCTCAAGGAGAACTTGTTGACCCCGGGCTGGAGCATGGCCCCGAACTGGCGCTGCATGAAGCCGGCCTGGCCCAGGCGGAGCTCCTCCTCGGCGGAGATCTGCTCGCCCCCGCCGCAGCCGCCTCCTTCTCCCTCGCCGGCTTCCACCTTGACGAAGGCCGAAGCAGCAGCAGCTTGGGGCTGGGCGTCCGCGGGCGGCGAGGCGGGCGGCTCCGGGGGGGCCGGCTCGGCTTCCACGAGGCCCGGCGGCGGGCTGCCTTCCTCGCCGGGTGACGCCGCGTCCCCCTCGCTGCCGATCAGG